TACTGCTTCTGCTTCTTTTTAAAGTAAAAGCAGAATTAGAACAAGTTTTCCGAAGCTGGTCACCCCCAGCTTCTGAAAAAACCGATTCTAGGAGTAAATTAGAGCATCATAATCACTTCTGCACTTTCACTCAAACACCCCAGCTTCTGCTTCTGCTCCTTCAGGGAGCAGAAGCAGTTTTAAGAATCAGATCCAAACACCCCTATGAGGTACTTCGTATCATGTTAACTATCCTCTGTGTTCCAAAATAGTCATTTTCAGAAAATCGATGCATATTTTGCTTTTTTTCTCACATCGAATGTTTGTATATTTTGAAAACATTAAGACGCATTTAAGTTTTTAAAACTTTTTCAGAGGGTAGAGAAGTCTTCTTGTAATGTTTATTAGTATGAGTAAACTTTTCCAGAAAATGACAACTAGTTTGGAATGGAAAGAGCAAATAGTTGGGAAAATTCTCGAAAAATGTAAGTAAATAAGTTTTGAAATTTGAGTTTTTTCCCGGAATAATGCTAATTAAATAAATAATTCCCAAAATATTGTCGGATTAAGAATAATTCCCGAAATACTGCTGGGGTTAACCACAGTTAAGGAAAGTCGCCACTCCGAGTGGCAGCTCTTGTACATCTTTACAAAAGCCACCACTTGGAGTGGCGGCTCTTCTACTTCTGTAAGAAAGCCGCCACTCCAAGTGGCGGCTCTTGTGTTAACGAACCTGCTGCAACATTATTTACACAACTAAACATGTAATTACCAGATAATCTGCTCATCACAAACTCACAGTCCATTCCACTCAAAAAAAACAACCAAACATATGATTTACTAAAACAAAATACACCGGAAATACAAAACGAATCAATGAAACTACATGACAACATACATCCAAAACACAAAACGAATCAATGAAACTTCATATTATGAAACTTTCACAAACCGAATCAATGCACCACAAAATTGAGTATAAACCATAAAGGTAATAATAAATCTGGTGTTTCACAAAATGATTCGATCTGCCAGTGCATGCTACAACTTTCACACAATAATTTAAATACAAAGATCATAAGTCAACGTGATCATCATCATAAAGTTCATGTGGCTGTGCTCGGGGACGCCTGCGCTGGTTACGAGGCTGAAGAACAACTCTATCACGTCGGACTGCTTGAGAAGACCCTGCTGCGGATGTAGATTCGGTAGAATGCTGAGAGGTGGCCATATATCCATAATCCACTCGACCCAATACATCAGCGCACAGTGAAACAATGCTTGAACAAGCGTCATGGTATCCCTGTACATCTACCGCCTCATCAAGAAGTATAGCAGTCGCTCTGTCATGGATGTTACGCAAAGCCCGTGTCTGTAATGCAAACATGGTTATTAGTGAAAAACACATGAATAAATAAATGAAGATATTTCATTGACTAAATTGTTTACCGTCATATGAAGAGCGACTGAGCTAGGCTGGTAATGATCAGTGGGTAAACGAAAACTAGGAGAGATAAACACCCGTGTGATGGTGTAATACCATCTCATGTAGTCTACAGAAGCTGTGGGGACTAATGATGGGATCCTGTCCACTATATACGCCGCTCTCTCATCCCACATAGTGATATACTGAATATGGCGCATCCCCCAATCTTCAGTGTGCTTCCCCCGTCTATCAATCTTGTGCAAATCCACAGATGTATCACAGGGTCCGGGAGTAACCTGCTGCAACCCGAACTGGCGTAGTACGCGATCAGGAAAGTGATGCTCCACTACATCAAAACATATCAAGGGCACACGTGCTCACCATATCTCAGTGTGCCTCTCGGGCAACAGGAGGCAACAACCCAAGAATCTCATCAGTGAACGACATCCACGTCATCTATAATATAAAATTATGTTAGACCATGGTTTATAAAAACATAAAACAAAGTACATACATTTAATGATATAAATGATATACCTGATCCATCACACAAGCGATCTAAAGCATCTTGGTAGTATCCTAATCCAGCAACGGATGACGTGCGCGTGACATGAGCAAATAGCCATCTGACACATTGTAATGTATAAGAATATAAAAGGGATTCACGTACGTCATACAAAAAAATCATAAACGTACCTACAACCCAAAGGATCCTCGCCACGAACATGATGTGACCCAATTACAGCGTGCCGATCCATATCATCATCAAGAGGACCACCATCTACCCCATGATATCGCAGTATGAAAGGTCTGCCGATATGAATGTGCTCCCATGACCATAGCTGTATGAGCAATAAAAACCCACCCATCTCTCCACCGTCACGATGGCAACCTCGACATAACTGCCGATATAGGTATGCTAAAGTCGCACTACCCCAGCTATAAACTGCAGCTACATAAAAAGACTCCAGAATGGGTAAATACAAGACCTGCACCTCATTCCCGCTCTTGTCCGCAGACGTGGAAGCTCCCATAAGCATCAGAATGTAGGCTCTCGCGTACTACTGCACAACATCGTCATCAACATCAGCAGGTAAACCACCAAAATGCTCTCTCAACCAAGCCATCCTCAAGGCGGACCTCCGGGTGGCGGTTTTTGTATAACAGTAGAAGAGCCGCCACTCCGAGTGGCGGCTTTCCTTAACCGTGGTTAACCCCAGCAGTATTTCGGGAATTATTCTTAACCCGACAGTATTTTGGAAATTATTTATTTAATTAGCATTATTCCGGGAAAAAACTCTTGAAATTTCTAAGTAGGACTACCATTTTTTATTTCCTAAATATGATTAATTATTGACAATGGAAATACTACCATGTTTAAAGCTTGATAATGTCAAAACATTACAGTAATTACTTTCATTTAAGGAATAAAAACATGAGTCTTATATTTGAATTCACGAAAGTTTTATTCTCATTTATGTCATTTTTTTAATAATTCCCATTTTACTAGCAAATGGCATTCCTTAAATAAGGTCATATACTCGATAAATTGTCATGTAAATATGTCTACTTAAAAAAAGCAACTAGATGAGTTATAACAATCCATTGACAACCTCATAATCCCGATTTTACTTCTCACCTTAGCAAATAATATGCTATAACAATTACTTAATCTGTCCCGTGCATCGCACAGAAAAGAATCTAGTCTAAATTGAAATACATAAGTTGTATGGGTCCTGTGTACGAACAGAATATTTAAAGATATAAAAAATGTGTCAAAATGTTCACAACAAGTGCATACCAAACTTTTTTGTTAGGATGTTTTTACTTAGACTGTAATTTGCCCCAAATCAGACCAGACCAGACCAGACCAGTCCAGACCAGACCAGACTTGGATAGTTATAAAAATTCAAAGAAACCAGACCTTATCAGACCAGACCAATTCAGACCAGATCAGACCAGATCAGACCAGCAAATTCAAGTAAAAACATCCTTAGTTGCTAAACTATTTGTTTGGAACCACTTGATTGAATCATACTCCGTACTCGGCAAAAGACAACTCTGGCAGTGGCGGAACCAGAACTTTATTTGAACCGGGGCTGAGAAACTCAACAAATGATCGGGTCACGGGTCAACCCCGATCCGGCGGGTCAAACCCATCAATAAAAATCAGGTCCACTTTCATGTAAAATTTTATAAAAATAAACATATATTATTATATAAAAATTAAAAAAATTATTCTTCATTACAATAATAAAATAATCTTACTTAATACATATTGTTATATACAGGTAATTAATAATGTTATTTGATATTTTCTGGTTTTAAAATATTCGAATATTTCACTATATTGTTGAATAAGAATACATAAGGATTTCTGAATATTTAATGTTTAAATATATATTCACACATTCAAATAATTAAAACTAAATAATTAAAATGATAAAAGTTTTGGCCTAAAGCGGTGAATTAATCACAAGGTAAAATGTTACACGTAATTGCTAAACAACTAAATAATTAAAAAAAGCATTACTACACAATCTCTCAATTCTCAAAGCGGCAAAGCCTGAAACGCAACCTTCATAGCTACAAAATCAAAACAAACCCAAATCCAAATATATTAATTGCAACTTTGTCCTCAATATTACTAGCTACATAATACTTCGTATATTAATTGCAACTTCGAAAGAAACCCAAATCCAAATAATCGAAAATTGAATAACTAAAAGTCTATTAATACAATATAATAATATGTAGCAGCAAGTTGAAGTTTTGAACAAATTAACAAAAAACATGTACTCCTATAGGCTGTAACTTTGAAACGTATACCAGAGGCAATAGAGACGCAGTAGAGTAACAGACGGCCAAACGCTTCTCTTTCTCCTATCGGCAGACCTTACGCCCCTGTTTAGGATTTCCAATTTCAGCATTTAGGCAGTTGGGCCGCTTTGGCTTGATAACGTATTTAACAGCACCAGCGACGTCGTTTCATTTCTTTTTAGTACTTATTCAAAACGGTGTCATTTGGATTATGTTATACTCATGTGACTTTTGAAAGACTGAAATCGGCCATCTCCCAAAAACAGCACAAAGGTCGCCGGAAACCACAAGGAGCAGGGAAGAAGAAGACCGGGCGCTGGGGAGATTATACATATATATACCCTAACATCTCCGGCGAAGGGGTGGCGCCAGCACCGGCTCGCTCCCCCTGGTTCCGCCACTGAACTCTGGAACACAATGTTTTAACTTTTTTCCCAAAAGAATATCAGAATTTGCTTTTGGATATGACTAATACTCCGTAATACTACCTCGGTAACATTGGGAAGTTCCCATTTGAAAAGTAGGTAGATTAAGAATAGTGAAAGGAGATATGTATTATTAGGGGTATGATGGGAAGATAGTGAAATAATGTGATGGAATGAAGGATAAATCCAAAAAAAGTAGGTGTAATAGTGTATTATTTTTAAAATTATTGAGAGTATAATGGGAAGATTTAAAAATGGGAAGATATTAGTGTTACATCGTGGGAAGATATTTACGTTACAGAGGTAATATAATAGAGTAAAAAAAAATACGGAGTAGTACCTAGTGGCTAACATAACCCACCTGGGAAGCTGGGATCAAGGCTGGACACGTCCACACAACGATCAACAAGACAAGGAGGCTGGGTAACGGCGCTATCTTTCGCTACCAAACTCCTGAGCCGCCCGGAAGTTTAAATTTCCGGCGACTCCAGCTTCTTTGGGGTCAGCCGTTAGCATAAGTAACCACAAGTGCATTTCTTCATCACTGCTTAGGGAGCAGGTTTGGAGTCTCAGTTTGAATGAATGATAGCAGAGGCCGCGTTTAGCTGCAAACTCGTTGAGGGTTTACTGTTATTGAGATTTGTAAGATTGATATTTTGTTGTATAGAATCATGACGGCAGCAGGTATGAAGCTACAACCTCGCTTCTACAGTTTCTTCGACTTCGATTTTACAATATATTAATTTCCGAAGTACCTTGCCCACTCCACACACACGATCAAATTTTGTTCAGCGGACATGAATACTGTTTCTGTAGACAAGCTCGTTTCTGTCCAAACAAATAAAAATCTTTATGTTAACTACGTTAACGGTGGTATAGAATAGAAATAGTGTACATAAATTTTATTCTGGCTACTTCGTTCCAGCTCGTTTTAGGAGGTTTGACCAAGTATAAAGGTGATTATATCCACATAATTTACATATTTAGAAGCATTACTAAAAGTTCTAGACAGCTTTAAAAAGTCGAATTTGAATACGATGAGAATTTCATGTGTGAAAGAGTAGATTTAATTGAGAGCCAAGCATATTAGACAATAGTGAATGAGAACACTAATTTGCAATTATGGAGTATATGTCCAATCTAACTCGTTGCAATAGCTAATTCAGAGTGTTCAAGTTCATCGTTTCATGCTACAAGTGAATTCCCCCCCAACTCGTGTGGATTATTTAATATATGACAAAGAAGGGCTGGTGCTGCTTATTTTAGTTTATTTTTTTGAATAGGGCAGTTTTTGTCCTGATCTTCCATATAAATATAGCAGATGGTGTGCTTGGGGGCACCATGTTCCAGCTGAAGCACATTCATTTCGTGTGAGAAAATCTTCATGTTGTTTCTCACTTTCTCCCAACTTTTATTGTAAAGGGGAGACCTTGGATTTCTTGTAAATCAGTGTAGATGTGTTTTTAGTTGCCATAATAAGATTTGAAAGGTCACCTGTGAATGGTGGGAGAGAGGGTAGTAATGAAGTTGTTAGGTTTGTTTGCCATAATAAGCTGATTATGTAAGTTCCCTATTTTTAAGTTTTCTTAAAAATGTATATAAGCTTATGTAATCTGTGAGTTTCTTTAAGAAATGAAATCACAGTACTCTTCACCAGCGTTGTCTTCATTCACATGTGTTGTGCTCGGCTTTCTGCCTCTACTATAATATGTGTAATGTGTTATACTGGTATTTCCAAATCTAAGCACTATTCTACTTTTCCCCCACCAAGTCAGTCTTTCGTTGTGTATGGGTAATTCTCCATAGGACTGTGTGTACTCTAAAAACTGTGTTTGGCTATCATTGTTTTAAAGAGTGGTTATGATTCTGTATTTCTGTACAGACACATTATTTCTTATTTCAGGATATAATTTCAATGACTTGATCCAAGAAGCTCAACGTCGATGGTTAAAACCTGCTGAGGTTCTTTTCATATTGCAGAATCACGAGAACCATCAGATTGCCCATGAGCCCCCCCAAAAGCCTGGAAGTACTTCCCTAACTATTTTCAATTTGCGCAGATTTAATATACTACTCTGAAGTTCATACCTTGCATTGGTCATATCTATCCCGGTGTGCTTTGCATCACTCATCAACTAATTCCTATTAATAGGTGGATCTTTGTTTCTTTTCAACAAGAGAGTCCTAAGGTTTTTTCGTAAAGATGGGCATAGTTGGAGAAGAAAGAGAGACGGGAGAACCGTGGGTGAAGCACATGAAAGGCTCAAGGTGACACAGTATTGGGGCTCTAGACTCCTCGTCTCCTCATATACCTAAATAACATCTACTTCATAGTTTTAGTACAGCTAATCTTGTCACCGTCCCAGAGTTGTTAATCCCAGATAGCGGAGCGGAGCGGCCAACCCTGAAAACGCTATAGCAGAGCAGATAGCAGGGTGACTGCTATTCTGACAATATATAAATTATATCTACAACACACATATTATATGTATGGCTTGTATGCATATAAACTTTATAATTACATGCCATGCACATATCAAATCCAATAATTGATAAATATATTACTCAGACTCTCAAACATCATTAAATTCATACTTATTAAAACACCAATAAAAAAGCACCATTGTCTTAAAAAGAAGAAACAAATCATTAAAGTAGCTTATCTCTAAATATTAAAATTAAAATTTAAGATCATGCATAATCCTTGATAAATTAGCAGTCATCATTATCTCGTAATAAGAAAATCAAGGTTCTTGGGGTGCTTTGGACCACCCTAACGTGGAGATGTACATTGCAGGTTACGTTTGATCTTGGTTTCTGCTTTGAGCTACATTAGTAGTGCTTAGTAGTGTTTTTTACTCTGAAGTTTCTAAAAGTAAAAATACAAACAAATCCCCTCAAAAACTAGCCCTGAAGAAGCCTTGTAAATTATAGCAGCGCTATAGCGCCCGCTACATCCAATTTAATATTTTGATCATGTTAGCCGACCCAAACTCTTTTGGGACTAAGGCTTGGATGTTGTTGTTGTTGCGTTTCCCGTTATAGCGCCCGCTTCTGGCTCTATTGCCAACCGCTCCGCTACAGGCAATCTTATAGTGCTAGCCCCTGCTCTGCTCTGCTGCGCCCGCTATAGTGCGCTATTGACTTACAGCACCATCCAGAGGCTGTTAATTATCACATCCTGGCACTAGTGACTCATACAATGTTGCACGATGCATTGTTCTACAGTTTTGCCAAGGTTTCCCTATATAATATGATGTTTGGTGCAGGATCTTTATTTGTTGATTTTTCTGTGACTAGGTTGGAAATGCAGAAGCTCTCAGTTGTTATTATGCACATGGAGAGCAGAATCCCAATTTTCAGAGGCGCTCTTATTGGATGCTGGATCCGTGAGTTCCATTCCTTTTAGTCTGTCGATTGTAGTGCCACATTTGTGTGCGTTATTTCGGAAAGGATACTGCCGGCTACCTCTGGTAGTTTTCCAATACAGTTTTTAATTTGATATTTCAACAGGGCATATGAGCATATTGTCCTTGTTCACTACAGAGATATAAATGAGGTTAGTATTTTCCTTATTTATTATGTTATTAAATAAATATAAATGAGGTTAGTATTTTCTATGTATTTATGCCCGATGGATGCTAATAAGTGTTTATTCCAGTTTTTTTTTTACAATATGGTTTTCAATTTCAGTCCTCAACTTTGTTCTTGAATGAATTATGAATATAAGGTCAACTGGAAATAACTCATTTCATCATCATTTTCATTTACCCCAGTGCCGCAAAGGCTCCCACCTACAGTGGGGTAAGGGGGGGTCGGATGTACGCAGTCTTACCCCTGTACTAAAGCACAGAGAGACTGTTTTCGGATGACCCATAGTGAAAATCGCGTCCAAAATTGCATGGACTGACGGATGCTTCATAAAAAAGAAGCGCAGACAGTTTAGTGAGCCATTTTGCTTTATTCCATCATATTCTCAAGCCAAAAAAAATAATGAATCTTTGGCTCCATTGCAAATGATGGAAAGCAACTGGAAATAACTCAACTACGAAAATTCGACACAACTCATTTTCATCAATTAGATGTTCTTTTCTTTGTTAAACCAAACTTATGCTCTATGCCTCTACCGATTTCCAAAATTTTCTGTACTTATTGAACATATACCATTAACAAATCTAAATAGACGCTAAAAACGCATGCATTTTTAACAATAAGTTCATTATTTTCCTGAGGTACAATCTTACTTTACATGCTTCAGTATAATAGTTTATAACACCGTTTTCCTTTGCAAGACACGTGGATTAATAAAATACTGGATTTGTATCACAGATATCTCTGGTGTCTTATACTTCAAGCCAGACTCTAGGCCCATACTCTACTCAGTACGCAGGCTCTTCTGTGGTCATAAATGAATCATATGAACCTTATTCTAGTCCGGGATCTGCGGAGATTAGTTCTCATGGAACCACTGCCAGCAATGGGATAGACCAGTTGGGCATTAGAGAGAGGGTACAGGAGGTTAGCACTGCTTCAGAATTTGAAATGAGCCTGGCATTGCGGAAGCTTGAGGAGCAGTTGAGTTTGGATGATGACAGCTTCAAAGAAATTGAGCAACTCAACGACACAGATAAATCAGACGTTGAAAACATTTTAGATGATGATAGCAATTTTTCTAGGACTCCTTATGATTCAAACAACTCTGTGCTGTGGCAACATTCGGGTTTGTCATTTCATCTCTGCTTCATAATTGTTAAAGTATGCATGCTTTGTGGGTGTAAATGTTACATATTTCGAAACTTACACTACCTTGCTATATCATTTCCTGTTGCAGCAATATGTTTAAGTGTATTGTACTTATCTTTTCAGTTTTTTTCAATCTAATATTATTTTTTAGACAAAACTCATAGTCAAGAAATGTACTGAAACTCTAGTGCTAATCACCATGCACTTTTGCAGGTTACTCAAGTGAGCATAATAATCAAATCTCAGGATATGAAATAGACCCCAGGGAAGATGATGAAAAGGTGATTTGGATGTAATAACATCTTGTTTCTTTTTCCTTTCCCCATAATTTTATTGGTGAACCCAATACACGGCACCAACTGAACTGATACATATGACATAATCATTGTTTTCATAGGAAAAATAACTTTAAATAATACTAACTATCTTCCATAAACCAAGAATAATACATGCTTTAGAAATAACTTTTAATAATACAAACTATCTGAATGTAAACCAAAAATAAAATAGAGTCACTAATCTACAAGAAATTGTTAAGACCCGGGGTTCCTTCCTAAAAGATCAACCTTATAGGAGTAGTAGCCCAAAGCCTTATATAGTGTATTATTGTTTTATAGCTTTCCGGTGTGGGACAAATACTTTAACACGTCCCCTCAACCCGAATCGGGCTGGACAATATCGGGGTGTATAAATGGGCCAAACAGACCCTTAACAAGCTACCCGTAGTCATGTGTGCTAAACAAGCAGTCAAACCGCAACCAGAATTGACTCTGATACCATGTTAAGACCCGGGGTTCCATCCTAAAAGGTCAACCTTATAGGAGGAGTAGCCCAAACCCTTATATAGTGTATTATTGTTTTATAGCTTTCCGGCGTGGGACAAATACTTTAACAGAAATCCATCCATTTAAGACATAAAAAACTAATACCAAGTCATCAGATAATTGATATTTCGAAATATGGTGGCTTATTTGATATTTTGATATTAGTTTTTGATGAGTAAAATAATTGAATTTTTAGTGAAAATTTGCTATATCTCACTTTTGATATATATTCAAATAGTTGGTATTATTAAAAGTTATTTCTAAAGTTCGTATTATTCTTGGTTCATGGAAGATAGTTGGTATTATTTAAAGTTATTTTCCCTTCATAATAATAATGACACATATGAATACTTAATATTTGTCATGTATGTGTCGTCACTTGATTGGCTTAATCCTCATGTGGAGTAATGGATTGGGTTCACCTGTGTACCCCCTCCCCCGTACAATGTTATCTATATTTTGTGATGATTGTGTATCCTATAACGAGGCTGTAGAGAGCAGTGTTAAGTGCATGTAAGTACAATCATGGTTTTTTTCTGCTGATTTATTCTGAATTTCTTTCATACTTATTCTCCATGTTTTTCTCTTTCCACACGTTTTAATTTCATCTTCCCTTTATACGATCTATAATTTGACAGAGCACGCTGCTTGCAACAGAGCCAATAGAAACCTCGGAAAGTATCTGGCTTAAGTTTGGTGCGAATGAGGCTCAAAATTGTAAAATCTTCTTTCCCCCTATTATTGTCTGCACCTTTGAGCTCATGAGTTTCTAAAATCTCAATGAATAATATTCTTTCGCATTGCAGCTTTTATCGCAATTCCTGAACAAGTTGAAGATATCAAATACCCTTTATATTCTCCTACAGTAAATGCTTGCAGAACTGATCCTGTGCAATATACTACATTATTCGACGAAGGTCAGATTGGAATTTATCTTGAAGATGACATGGGCTTAGTTATTGATCAAAAGCAGAAATTTACAATTAAGGAAATATTTCCTGATTGGGGATATGCTACCGGGACTACAAAGGTTGGTCTTTTGTTCAATACTTGGACTCTTGTGGATAACCTTCTAGGCTTCTACACTTGAATTTCTTTTATCCATTTTATGTAGAAGTTATCTTGGAACCTTGACCATCTATTGATGATTTTTTTAACAAGAAAACTTTCACTGATTCAATTACCAATACATTGAAAGAAGCACATAACCCCAATATCTTTTGGGATTAAGGTTTGGATGTTGTTGTTGTTGTTGTATGGAAAGAATCACATACAGATCCACTAGAAACCATGATGTTGAACCTGTGAGAAGATACATGACACCCATGTTATTACCATAAGAAATGAGCTCATAGCAATACAATATCTGAAAACACTTCTCTGACTATAGAGATTATATTACTCCAGTCTACAGCAGACTTTTGACAATTATACTTGAGACTTAAATTGATTAGATAGAGGTACATGTGGGTAATTGAAAGCAAAAATGGCCAAAGTTATCCCTTGTGGCCTTGCTAAATGAAAGAAGTTGCAAGAAGATGAGAGTAATGAAAATTTGAGAGTAGAGTAGAGTTTCTGACTTTTCTTATTGCTGTAGCTGAGTAGCTCTGATTTGATGTTCTCTTGTGTAGTTATCATCAGTATTGTTGCCTCATCCTCCATGGGCTTGCCTGAGATACAGCTTTTGCTAGACCTTGAAATCAACAGTTTTGTGTTCCATAATGCAGGTTGTTATCATTGGATCATTTCTTTGTGACCCATCAGAAAGAGAATGGATGTGTATGTTTGGTGATATGGAAGTGCCTGCTCAAATCATTCAAGAAGGTGTCATCCGTTGCCAAGCTCCTCCACACTTGCCTGGCAAAGTCAACCTTTGCATTACCACAGGTGACCGAGGATCTTGCAGTGAGGTTAGGGAGTTTGAGTTCCGAGTTGAGTCCACTGGAAATATTAATAGTAGTCTGCCTGAAACACAATGCACTCATAAGGGTCCTGAGGAACTATTGCTTCTCATCAGATTTGGACAGATGCTTCTTTCAGATGTATCAAATCATAAACTTTGTAGTTCTCTATCTGGAAATGATTTTTTGGAAAAAATCAAAGCGGGTGAAGATTCATGGAGTCAATTCATTGAGGCTCTCCAATTGGACTGTTCAACGTCAAATCTTACTATTGATTGGTTTCTCCAGGAACTTCTGAAAGACAAGTTGGAGCACTGGATCTCTTCCAAATCACAAGGAAAAACTAACTTGTCTGGGTGTATATTGTCCAGGCAAGAACAATGCATAATTCATATTGTTGCTGGGTTGGGATTTGAATGGGCCCTGCGCCCAATTCTAAGAGCTGGAGTCAGCGTCAATTTCCGTGATACCACTGGCTGGACTGCCTTACATTGGGCTGCACGTTTTGGGAGGTAAAATCCTCTTTTTCTAAAAAACGGCCTCTTGTTAAACATGTAATGACTGCTCACTTCCATTGATCATTGTATTTGAAGTATTACACAGGTTCTGCTGAGAGTAATAGCGGCTTGTGTTAGGGCCTTAGGGGTGCAAATTAGTGCATGTGTCTTCATACAACAACAACTTCCAGGCCTTAGTCCCAAAAGAATTTGGGGGTGGCTAACATGAATCGATGTATGAAATCGAGCTAAAAAAATAAAAAGATAAGATCAAAAGAAAAAAAATAAAGAAGATAAGATAGAGGGGAAAAAGATAAAATGAGATGCATGAGTTTTCATAATATTATTAGGCTATGTTTGCAAATGCTTCTAGGAAGCACTTCTCAGTTTTTTTGTTAAAAAAAGCCAAAAGGGGTGTGCAAATGCACATTTCAGCTTAAATTTAAGCAACTTTGAGCCAAAAGATGAAAACAGCCATAAGATGCTTTTATCTGCTTCTAGGGTTTTTAGTAAATATTTGGAACTTTAGGGATAATTATTAGACTAAAGATTTAAAAAAAAAACTAAAATGCCCCTCCTTCATCCGCCAAATCCCTCTGCTGCATCAGTCATCGTTTTTCTTTCTTCTCCAAGACTCCAACCATGGCAAAAAATGTCTTCCTCTTTCTTCTCCAACCATGGTCACATTATCAAAGTTTTGCCGCATGACTTCTTTCACATGTGTACATATGTATGGGCTGATTTACTGATATTTTGAATGTGTGTGTGTGTGTGCGCGCGCGTGTGGAGGCGATCCGGCAACTGCTGAACCCAGGGCGACCCGGCCACCCTGCACATCTACCGGCGCTGCAGATGACTTCAATTCAGTGGCCACCGGAATACAATTCCCCTGCAAAGGCGCAAGACCAGCTACGGCAAATACACTTTTTCTGCCTTCCAAACCAATCAACGAGAGAAATAGGAGGCTGCAAATAATTGGATTCACAAGGATATTTTTGTCTTTTAATAATATAGTACCTTAAATATTACTTTTTCCCAAATAATTTAACTTTTACATTTTAATTAAAATCACTTCTATTTTCAAACACTACCAACTTTTACCATAAAGCACTTTTCCAATATTCTCTTAAGAAAATCACTTTTGAGAAGCACAAGCATTTGCAAACACAGCTTTAATATCCCAGTTAAGTCAATAGTGCGCTATAGTGGCGTAGTGGAGCAGAGCAGGGGCTAGGCGCTATCAGATAGCCTATAGCGGAGCGGTTGGCAATAGCGGCTGTAGCGGGCGCTATAGTGGGAAATATAGCGGCTGTAGCAAACGCTATAACGCCACTATAATTTACAGGGCTTCTTCAGTGCTAGTTTTGAGGGAATTTGGGTGTATTTTTTACTTGCATATGTTTTTTAGAGTAAAATAACCCAGCTACACCCTCCAGAACATGTTGGTTGGAATACCCCTACTAAACGCTACTCACATAGCTCAAAACAGAAACCAAGATCAAACATAACCTACACTGTACATCTCCACGTTAGGGTAGTCCATGGCATCCCAACAACCTTGATTTTCTTATTACGAGATATTAATGACTGCTAATTTATCAAGAATTATGCAGGACCTTAAATTTTAATAGTAATGTTTATAGGTAAGCTACTTTGTTTTCTAATTTCTTATGTTATTTTGATCTTATATTTATCTTCCATTTTATCTTACTTTATCTTTTTATTCTTGTTATCTTTCTTCTCTTTTTGGATCTAATATCATTGATCAATTCATGTTAGCCGATCCCAAATATTTTGGGAATAAGGCTTGGATGTTGCTGTTGTATAGGTAAGCTACTTTGTTTCCATCATTTCCAATGGAGCCAAAGACTCACTATTTTTTTGGCTTGGGAATATGATGGAATAACACAAAATGACTCACTAAACTGTCTGTGCTTCTTTGTTATGAAGCAACAGTCAGCCCATGCAATTTTCGGCTCGACTTTCATCATGGTTCATCCTCAAACAATCTCCTCAAACAATCTTTCTGTACTTTAGTACATGGTTAAGACTGCGTACATCTGACCCCCTTACCCCACCACAGGTAGGAGCCTTTGTGGCACTGGGGTAATGTTGTTTTTGTTGTATAGGTAAGCTACTTTAATGATTTGTTTCTTTTGTTTAAGCCACTAGTTCCTTTATATCGTACATCAAGAAGTATGAAATTCATGAGGTTTGAGATTTTGAGTAATTTATTTATCATTTATTGGATTTGATATGTGCATGGCATGTAATTATATGCATCCATATAGTATGTATTTTGCATATATAATGTCTGTGTGAAATATAACTCTTATTCTTATTATTGATGCATTAAAGGATGAAAACAATATCTATATTTAAAGCTACAACTAGGGCAAATTACATAAAGTGGGCTGGGCCCAGAGCAACTAGGGTTAGGGTCTCAACTCTCAACACTCCTCAAGCTGGAGCGTATGAATCATATGCGCCAACCTTGTTACACATGTATTCTAGTGTAGGACCTCGAAGAGATTTTGTTAAGCCAAAAAGACCTCATAATGGTTATTTATTTTTATTAGTAAAATTTTAATTTTTAGTTCATCGTTTTCGTGCTCTACCGTATCTTGGTATTATGAGATTAGAGTTTCCCCATCCCCATTTCCATCCTCACTTCCGTTTTGGTGCTACTCAGACTAAAAATAGATTCCCCATATAGACATATAGTGGAGGACTGACTTGATACTTAGGGCATAACTCGGTGACTATGTGTTCGGTTTGAACCTTTGAGGGGAGGGAGGGCATGGAGAGGAGTGCAGGTATTGGGGGGGGGGGGGGGGGGGTACTCTCATCTGATTTAGGAGGAAAGGAAATAGGAGGGGGTAGAAATAGTAAGTTAAGCTCCCTTTCCCCTTGCATTTGTTAACCTAACAAGGCGAGAGTTGAATCTTCTCTTCCCCTCCCCTTGAGCCTGACACTCCCTAAAAGGGGCATTTTCCCTTTGTTTTATGAACTGGGGGCACACAATGTTTTTATCTTCATGCAATTACTCAATTTTCCTTTTTTGGGTTCTCTTCTATTGTCACTTGTTCTGCCGTAATGTGAATATGGCTTATGATTGATCTTTCTCTCACTGCTGATGTATTTTTCTGTTATTTATTGCTATCATTATTCATTATTTTTAAATCCCTTGCATGTAACAGGGAAAGAATGGTTGCTGCGCTGATAGCATCTGGCGCATCACCTGGAGCAGTTACTGACCCCACCAAACAAGATCTCTTTGGTAAAACTCCTGCTGCCATTGCTGCTAATTGTGGACACAAGGGACTTGCAGGATATCTTTCAGAAGTGGCTTTAACCAGTCATCTCTCATCCCTCACATTGGAAAAGAGTGAGCTCTTTGAAGGATCTACTGATGTGGAAGCAGAAAAAGTCACTGTTAGTTTCTCCACAGGAAGTCCGACAACAAATGAGGATCAGCTTTCACTGAAGCATACTTTAGCTGCAGTCAGGAATGCTGCTCAAGCTGCTGCACGGATACAATCTGCATTCCGGGCACATTCTTTCAGGAAGAGACAACAGAAAGAAGCTGGAGATGAATATTATACTTTCTCAAATGGTATTCAGGGTGTTCCAGCTGCGTCCATGTTAACATTCTGTTCAACACGTGATTATAACTCAGCAGCTTTAGATATCCAAAAGAAATATCGAGGATGGAAAGGGAGGAAGGACTTCCTTGCTTTCCGTCAGAAAGTAGTAAAGATACAGGTACTTCCACGATTTCTCTACTCTCTGAGTTGCTTACGAATCAAGCTCACCTAACCGTACGAAGGGTCAATTTTTATCACAATAATGTCAGCGTCATAATACCATGAATTTGAGGTTGATGCCACTAGTAATGTACCACAAAAAAAGGAAAAGGTATTAAACATTTTTCCTAAATGTAGAATGCAAACAAGTAAAATGTGTAAAATAGTACGGTGGAAATTCTGCTTAGACATGCATACATATATCAAATATCAATTGTAAATGTTAGTCTCCCGCTTGTTCTATTATTAGAAGTAATGCCATAGTACTGAGTGCATTTGAAATAGATAACACTACCATGGTTCTACCTTAGTCCATGAAAAACAGGTCAATGTGGCAGAGTCAGAAGGTAAGCGATCATGATATAGATAATTGTGAACTTGTTCATAAAAAATGACTTGGTGAGATTCAATTACTAAATCCAGGTGGCTCTTGAGTTTTTCATTGGCAACTACGTCGATAAGAAACATGTTTTTTTGTTCTTGTTAAGAAAAATGACCCTCAAACATTTCGATTTGGTCCCATGACAGTTTCTGTGCAAATATTTGTCACTAAAACTCTTGGAGCAATTAGATTGAATAAAAAAATATTGAAGTTGAAATTGCTTTTGCAGGCTCATGTACGAGGCTATCAGGTTAGAAAGCAATACAAGGTATGCTGGGCCGTGGGAGTTCTAGAAAAGGTAGTGCTTAGGTGGCGTAGAAGGAGAGTTGGACTTCGTGGATTTCGACCGGAGGAAGAGTTCATTGATGAAAATGAGGTTGAAGAAGACATACTCAAGGTTTTCCGGAAGCAGAAAGTGGATGCGTCAATTGATGAAGCTGTCTCAAGGGTCCTCTCAATGGTTGATTCTCCTCAGGCACGCCAACAGTATCATCGCGTTCTTGACAAATATCGACAGGCTAAGGTACAATGCATCCATTTTCATTTTTTCACAAAATATTTTTCTGCATTGGAATTACACTTTCAATCTATTTATTTTTTTTACTTTGTTTGGTAGGCCGAACTTCAAAGTGTGGAAACCGAGGCAGCACCTTGTGCAATTGGCGGCTTCACCAGTATGGAAAGTGATGACATATATCAGTTCAAGTAGCAAATTCTAATCCAGTCTGATCTGCATGGCTGTTACATGTAGAATTGTACATAATTTTGCTGTAAATGCTAACTGCTGGTGAATGTCATATGTAGGTAAGCCGAAGCCAGTAAGCTGCTTAAAATTTCTTGCATGTGACAATCATTGATAACCTAATAGGCTGTATGGGTTTAAGATGTCTTTTCAATGGTAATTTGAGTCGCAGTGGTGCCTGTAATGAATTAGGTAAGTTGTGTGTGCATTGCCTATTTAACGCCGTCAGGCCGGGACTAGGCCCGGTCGGGCTTTAGGAGTTTGGAGGTAGGCCCGGAACCGGCACGGGTATACCCCGGGTCTGGGCCGGGCCGCGCCTCGGGCCAGATTCTATTTTTTCTTTGGAAAAATTGAAAACAATAATCCCAACTATTGCCGGTCCGCCGACAATAATCCCAACTATTGATAATTTTTGAATAATCCCAACTATATGGATCGTCTACCAATAATGGTCCATGACCAGATATTACCTCCTACAAAAAGTGTTTTTTAAATAGAAATTAAGCGTAAAAATTAAAAGTTACGATTATTTATAAGGATTACTTGTTATATCTCTTCTCATTCACTTTAAAAACTACAAGAATTTATTTATAGGGACTATTATTGGCGGAAGGTCCCTAAAGTTGGGATTATTCTGAAATAATCGATACTTGGGATTATTATGGGCGGACCGCCAATAGTTGAGATTATTACTATCAATTTTTCCTTTTTCTTTTCGTTTTTCTATTTAACCCCCGACACCCCTCACCCCAAATCACCCCAAATGGCTCTAAATACCCAACCCGGGAATTTAAAAAAAATTGAAAAAACAACAAAAAAAAGCCCGGAACCGGGCCTGGCCCGGCCGGTCCGTCTATTGGGTGACCCGAGCTTGCACCGGAAAACACCCGGGCCGGGCCTACCCGGACCGGTCCCTGGCCGGGCCATCGGGTCGGGCCGATGCCAAACAGTATTGTTCCGGGCCGGTCTCGGGTCGGGCCACCCGGCCCGAGTCCACCACTACTTCCGTCTAGTGGTTCATGTATCTTTTTTGTTTTAGCTTCAAATGTTATTTTTCTGTTTAAAAATGTGATTGGGACTAGGGCCGGGACTTTGGAACCAAGAACCGGAGATCCGAACCGGACCGAACCGTTATGACCCGGTTCGGTTCGGTTCCAAAATTTATTAGTTTTTTTAATGGTTTGGTTCCTATTTTTTATTAAAGGTTCGGTTCTCGGTTCCTGAAAAAAGTATGTAGATAGAACCATTAAGGAACCGTTATATATAATAATTAAGATTATATATATTTCTTATTAGTATATATATTTTAATGTATTTCTATTTATCTATTTGTAGATTACTTTCACTATTTTAGTTTAATTATTTAACTATATAAAGATGTTTTTCATTTTAACCGGTTCTCTTGGGTTTCTTTAGTGAATATCTTGCTTTGTTTTATTTCCTAAAAATTGTAGTTTGTTATCTATTTATGTTTTAAACTCAACTTTTGAGGTTTGAAATGATGTTCAACATATTTGTATTGTAATTTCAAACGTGATTTTAAACGTGAATGTCTTTTTGACACAAATTTAACCATGATTTGTAAGAAAATTTTCAAAGACTAGGAATCATTAAATGACAAGAACCGAACCGTTAAGAATGGTTCGGTTCCTTATCGGTTCTAGAAAATAATTTATAAGAACCGAACCGTTAGTAAAATTTCGTATTTTCAAACGGTTGCTCATATTTTGCCTAGGAACCGAACCGGTCCCAGGCCTAATTGGGACTTTGCTAGGAGTTTAGTCGAACTCTATTTCCCTTACATGTATCATGACTACAAGAGTATTTGGGGGTGTTTGGAACTGATTCTGCTTCTGCTTCTGCTTCTTTTTTTTAAGCAGAATCAGAATCAGTTTTCAGAAGCTGGTCACCCTCAGTTTCTAAAAAATTGATTCTAGGAGTAAATTAGAGCACCAGAATCACTTCTCCACTTTACCCAAACACTCCAGTTTCTGCTTCTGCTCTTTAGAGTAGAAGCAGTTTTAAGAATCAGATGCAAACACCCCTTGACCTCCCAAGGTCATGTTTGACGATGAGAAATAGGATGGACATTAATTTAAAAAGGAAAGTTTCACACGACCCCTTCTAATCTGTCCAATCTAGCAAAGAGCAATTGAGTCTTAGTGGGCCGTGTGGTTTAACACATCCAATTGAACGAATTCAACTAAGAGGTGGACTCAGCCCGTTCAGGGCATAGGTAGGGGCGGAACCGGGCCGATTTGGTTCCAAAGTTGGAGAGTGGCCGCCAAGTGCCATTACCTCACCAGAAGTTTTTTTTCCCAAAATAATACTAATTTAATGAATAATTCTCAAAATACTGTTGAGTTAAAAATAATTCTCATACTAATGTTAAAATTAACCCAGGATAACAAAGCCTTCGTTTGAGTTGATATATCGCCGAGCTTTCATATATCGGCCAACACAATCAAGCAAGGGAACGATTCTCGAGTTTTTTCCTGAAATAATGCACAATTTACAAATATTTCCCAAACTAGGGTCCAGTTAAAAATATATCCCAAAATGCTGTTGAAACTAATTGCAGTTAGGAAAACCGCCAGTCTGATTGGCGGCTTACCTCAAGACAAAAGTGTTACGTAGGCACGTAGCAACAGCTGCAACTTTTTTATTTGTACTTCAATTATTGCAAAAACTATTTCTGAATTTGTAACATTTTATTATCTTTCATATGACACCAATTGATGGACAGTCTACCCGGGGGGTATCTTATCCGAGGGGTTATTGCAGGAATAACTAGAGAGAAGTCAGAGCAAAATAGGAGGAGAGAGAGTCGATTTCATTAAATGAACTCGAGATGTGGAGTTGAGATGTAGATCCCGTTTTACAAGGAGAAATGGGCTGCTATTTATAACAGCAATAAATGCGATGAGAGGACACGTGTCAGTAATCCAACGGCCGAAGGGTCACATCAACCGGTTGGCACCGGCAGTGGTACGTTCACCGCATTGAATGCGGTTGGCGGATGTGACGCGGCTTTAAATGCGGTGGTTGGCTGTCTCCCAAAGGAATCTTCGATGATTGAGAATGTTTGGCCGAAGGCACCTTGTATCGCCGAGGGCTCCACGTAGCCAAGGATCCCTGTGCAGCCGAAGGCCGGGGGCTTCTCTGATGCCGAGGGCATGGTTTAGCCGAAGGCTCACATTTTTCGCCGTTTTCTCCCAGTAGCCTCTTATGCCAGAGAAGGCTACCCTGTGAGATTTAGAGCCTTCGGCCAAAGAGGCCGAAGGCACTCCAGTGCGTACTCTGGGCTATGTTGAGGCTTGGGCCGCTGCATTTTGGGCCTGAGTTGTTCCCTGGGCCCAATGAACTTGTGTAGGAGAAGTGGGAGTCTATGGGCCGGGGGTTCCTGGGCCATATACTCCATCAGGAGTCCCTCACTCCTTTTGCCGAAAGGTACTTGAGGGAAAAGGAGTAGATGTGTTGCTTCTTCTGGAGGCTTCATCATTCGCCGGGTGCTCTTTGGTGGAGAACTTGTCTTCTGCTGATTGCCGAAGGGTTCCCTCAGTCCCTCACATGCCGAGGGTTTTCTAAAGGAAGTATAACACTCGTATGAATGCCGGAGCCTCTCCTCAGTCCCTCACATGCCGGGGGTTTTCTGAGGGAGGCGTAAATAATATCCGCATGTGTTGTGATGAAGGCTGTTTCATTATTGTCAGTGATTGTGGAGAATTTCTGACGTTTTGCTCTGCCGAAGGGTGTACTGGTGTACGCACCCGAGGGCTACATGTGTTATTTGTAGGTTTTTTGTATGTGGGAATTTTTGTGATGAAGTCATGTGTGATTCCCGAGGGGTGTGTCCCAGTCCCCCACTCCTTTAGGCCGAAGGCGAGTCGGGCTGAAGGAGTTATGATGAGTTGATGAGCCCCCGAGGGGTGGTAACATTGATAAGCCGAAGGCTTATGCTGCTACGGGCTCGAGGGTGTTTTGGTGGAATTCGTTGCCCGAAGGCTGCGGTGAGTGATAACCGGAGGCTTATATTGCAGTTTGCCTGAGGGTACTTGGTGATATGTGTTCACCGAAGGCTTCATTAGTAACAGCCGGAGGCTATCGTCAAAGGTTGCCTCAAGAGTTTCTAAAATGGAGCCGTTGTGATGTAGCCGTTGGAGGTGGGAGCCACGTGGCGTGCTCCAGTTGGCCGAAGGTGGGCGGGTACCATCCATTGGCTGAACCGGCGGCCCGTAATGATGCCCTTTTTCAAATCGAGGCCCATATATCGAGGCCCATTTGCCTATAAATACCCCAAGGCTGGACCTCACTTCCTTTGCGCGTTCTTGAGATCATAGCGGAGCTCTGCCGAAATTTCTAGAGAGAGAAACTCCAGCCCTCGATTGAACCCACTCTCTAAGGTCAGTCCATCCTTCCGCTTTGAGCTCTCTAGTGTAGCTTGCCCTTTTCCCTTTTTTACTCAGTGTTAGCGACAGTAGAGACCCTTGGCTAGAACCCTTAGAGTTCAAGATGTCCTCCGGTAGTGACTCGCAAGACATCTCGAGGGAGCTGTCGGTGAGCCCCGAAAGCATCTCGGATGCGGAGTCGTCGAGCGTACAGTCGTCAGTTGGCAATGATTCCGTGGTGGCAGAGGAAGTGCAAAACGACCTTCGGGCCGAGTTAGAGGCCGAAGATTTCGAGCAGGTAAACGAAGACGAGGAGCTTGCCCTCGCTCTTCAAGTTGCGGAAGAGGAGGAGGAGAAGGAAAGGCAACGAGTCACCGTTGCTGTGTTGCCCCCCCGCCATGATGCCGAAGCCGGAAGCTCCCGGCCACTCGATCCCGAACCTCTCAGTGTGGCCCCAGGAAAGAAGAGAAAAAAAATGAGGGCCGCCCCGAAGAAAAAACAGGCTGCGGCAGACGCGGGACAACCCGTCGGCATACCCGAGGGACATTCCTACCTGAATACAGACGCCCTTGAACTCAAAACAAAAGCCTCTCATGCGGAGTATCAGGCGACGCAGTTTCTTGTGGGACCTTCGGCCCAAGTGGTAGAGCCGGGTCCGGATGACGTTCTATTGCGCCCCCCGGAGGGTTGCTTTGCGGTTCACGTTCTCTCGGTGGAGCTGGGCCTTCGGTTCCCTCTCCACCCATTCGTGCTGGAGTACCTGCGTTTCTTAGGGTTGGCTCCTTGCCAACTGACGCCCAACAGCCATTCGTACCTGTCTGGCTTTCTTGCGCTCTGCCGAGACCGCGGGGTTGATGCTACCCTCGACCAGTTCTTTCTCTCCTTCAACTTATGCCGCGGGGGGCATTCTCATGCCGGGGGATTCGCCAACCTACAACAGCTTCCCGCCTGGAGGTTGTTCTCAGAGGTTCCCTCGTCCCACAAGTGTTGGAAGGACAAGTTTTGCTATATACGAATGGGGGAGAACCCATTTCCAGAGCCTCTCCGTTATCACTTCAGAAGGCACCTCAAGGTCGGGAGTGCTGTCCTTGAAAGCAAAGGGAGGAAACTTACAGCGAAGCCGGAGGGGTCCAATAAAGTTCTGGCGATAAAGACTGCCACGCTCCCGGAGGAGCTTTTTAAGTTGGGCTTCCGTAGGTTCCGGTTGCCGGGGGAGACAACAGGGGAGTATCCCCTGATAGACCGGGTGTACGAAAGCGCCGAAGGTGGGAACCGAGGGGTCCCGACTTTCATACTTAGTTATTTTTTGTTTCTACATACTTCTCTTGATTCTGCTGCTGTGATCTCACCCTTATGTGTTTCTCCTCCCCTTGCAGGCCCCGATATGGATGCCAAGAATCTTGCCAAGTTGAAAAGGCAACTGGCAAAGGCTGACAAGAAGAAGGAAGAGCCCCCGAAGCAAAAGCCGGTGGACCAGTTCTTCCAGCGTGCTGAGGCTGCCCAGACATGCGAGGACCCAGAGCCCCCGAAGGGGGATGCCGCAGACGCTGAGGGCTCCCAAGCCTTGGAGCTGAAAAGGAAGATAACCGGGAAGGGCGTCTTGCCTCCGGAGAAAAAGAAAAAAGGGGTTGCTGATAAGGACGTCCCTGTCCTCGGGATTGAGGAGCGTGCTTCCTCCGAGTCCCCGGCTCAGCTGGCTGATGGAACATGGCCTCGGGAGAATGTGCAATTTTCCGTCAAGAAGGGGGTCGCCATTGTCCACGGCACCATGGACCCGAGGGAGTTCCTTGATGGCGCAACTCCACCGTTGGACAGGTCCGCCCTCGGCCGCCTTGGGGATGATGCCATCGAGTCCAAGCTTCTCCACGCCTCCGTCACCGTAAGTATTCGGCTATGTCCTTGTCTTAAGTGAATCCGCTTCAGTGTTTTCCCTCCGTTTTCTCTGACCTTTTCTGCGTTTTATATGTTTGCAGGCCAGTGTGGTGCTCGGGGAGCACATTCGCAGAGTGGAGCAAATGCGCCTCCGGAAGGCGCAAGATGACGAGGCCCTCCGCAAGCTTGTTGTGAAGAACACGGAAGCCATCAGGAAGATGGCCGAGCTCGAGGAATCCCTTCGGAAGGCGACCGAGGGGATGGAACAGAAGTTAAAGGCCGCTGAGGCCAAGGGCAGAGCCGCCGCTGAGGCGTCCGCCGCCGAGGCCGCCAAGACCGCCGCCATTAAGGCTGAGGAGGCACAGAGGGAGGCGGTACTCCAAGCCCGGGAGGAGGCGATTTCTGCCTTTGTTGCTGATGGTTGGAAAGTCGAGGACCGGAGGCCGTGGGTAGACTCCGTTGTTGAGGCTTCGGTTGATGCCTGGGTGGGAGGCCCCGGTGCGATGTGGCTGGCCCGAAAGGGAAAAGAATACTACGACGGTGGTGAGTTCTTTACCCAATGGCTCGTCTACCGGAGGCTTGCCAGGCATTCCGGGGTGGACCCCAAGGACTTCAACCCTGCAGCTTATGGGTTGCCCCCCCTTCAGCCTGATACACGCGTTCCCCTCCCCCCGGGCGTCGAGAGGCCTGATCTCGAGGACTCGGAGCTGATGAAGGAGGCTGATGATGATGAAGAGGAAGCCGGGGAGGATGCTGCCTCGAAGCTGAAGGAGGATGGAGCCGAGAACGCTCCAGTCTGAAATTCCTTCAAGTATAATCTTGTAATAGTTTGTAGTTTCAGGCTCCTGCCATGCAATGTAAATCAAACATCTCGTTGTTACTTTGTTTTGTTTTTTGAATGAATGTGATATGCCTTCGGGCTTCCGTGATATGTTCCTTTGACTTTTGATGGATGTATGCCTTCGTTTCTTTCTGTTTGTGTATGAATGCTTTCTTCATTTTGAACTTGAATGTATGCTTTCGCCTTACTTCCTTTTGTTTGCATGCTCTCCCTTCTCTGAATGAATGCATGTGTTCCCGGAGGCCACAAGTTTGTGGACTTAGAAAATTTTTCTAAGTGTAATTCCTTGCTAGCCCCCGATTGTAGTGCAGTATCGCCGGGGGGCCGTTGTTGTGGACTTAGAAAATTTTCCAAGTAAACTTGACCAGAACCCTTCGGATGTAGAGTAGAATCACCGGGAGGTTTGCGATTGTGGACTTAAAAATTTTCTTAAGAACTTTTGTCGTGTGCCTCCGGTCGTAGCGTGGAATCAACCCCCTTCGGATGTTTGTAGTAGTGATGCCGATGGAAAAACCCGAATTAGACTCAGGAATTTCACCGTGAAATTGAGTCCTATGCCCCCGGAAGCCTTCGTTTAGTGGTGTAGCTTCTGGCTATTGCCAAGTAGTTTGGGGGGCCATCGGCCGCAACCCCGTAAGTGAAGAGGGCATCCCTGTTTTCTCCTGAAGGGTCTCCGATTGTGGACTTAGTCAAATTTCCACAATATTCCAATAGTAGTTGTAGTGAACCTTCCGGTATGGGAATTGCTCTGAGCCCCCGGTACATATGGTTGCCGAGGGGTTTGAGACTATGGTCTTAGTGAAATTCTGAGATTTGTCTCCCATAGAGTGACCCTTCGGTTGATGAGTCTGCTTCGAAATGTACCAAATTGTCATCATTGAGTGAGTTTGGTGGTATCAAAACTTCGTCGGTATGAACCCTCCGGTTTGCGTAGGTATAGATTTAGCTTGCCTTAGAACTTTGTGGAGCCTTCGGCATGTCACATAGTTGACTTTGATCCAACTTAAATTCGGCCTTAGCCAAATTTAGGTGAAGTTTTGCTTAGTGAGCTCTCTTCTTGGGCTTCCGGGGAAACCGTTGTACTCCGAGGCTTTATGTAGGGGAGCCTTCGGCCTTGTGGCCAGATGACTCGTTGTTTGCGAGATTTTCTTGTGAATTTGTAGGAGCCTTCGGGAATGTATATCCGAAGTGTTGAGCCTCCGGGGAGAATAGTATCCGGGGAGTTCCTTCCCCCCTACACATCTTTTTTTTTTTTTTTTTTTTTTTTTTTTTTTTTAGATGGTGTAGGAGAGGCGTCTAGAAACTTGGTTTCTAGGGAAGGCTTGGCCTATATGGGAGGCAACGGAACAAACCGTTGGCTCCCCCTTCGGGAATGACCTTCCGATATCCCGAAGGGTTTGAGGGTCGTTTCCTCGGCCCGAGACATCGTCTGTTGCCTGCTTCCCCTTGGGAGATAGCACGGAAAGCGCCTCGGTTTTGAAAGTCGTCCCCTCAGCCCGAGACATGGTCTGTTGCCTGCTTCCCCTTGGGGGATAGCGCGGGGAGCGTTTCGTTTGTGGAAGTCGAATCCTGGGCCCGGGACATGGTCCGTTGCCCGCCTCCCCTTGGGGGATGGCGCGGAAAGCGTTCCTGGGAAGGGTTTTATTCGTGTGTGGGACACAAATAGCCGGGGGCACTTGGTACCAGCCGGAGCCGAGGGGTGTTGCACCCCCCGTTTTTTTTTTTTTTTTTTTTTTTTTTTTTTTTTTTTTAGGAGCTCAGCCTCGATGTATAAGTACGCATAATGTATGCATGGTTGCGTACGTCATGAGAGTATGTAAAAGTATGCCTAATGTATGCATGGTTGCGTCCTCGTGGGGTACGACTTAGTGAGAAAACACTTGGTGTTTTCAAAGAGTGATGGGGGTGACCCATACACTTGGTACTTGGTACCTAAATTGTTGTTCCCCCTCCTGAGAGGAAGAGGCCTTGGGCCTATTTTGGTGAAGGGACGAGGGCTTGGCCACTCATGTGTATGAGAGAAGAGGGCCTTGGGCCGCTCGTATAACATGTAGGTGATGAAGGCTTGGCCTTTTGATTTTCTTCAAAAACAGATGGGGCCTTGGGCCATTGATCATTTGCACTTGTTGAGGATGAGGGCTTGGCCACTCATTGGTAAAACTTCACTAGGTGGTGCACATTCCAATGTCTAGGAATCTCTGTCCCATTAGGACGTTTTAACTTGTATGTCCCTGGTTTGATGATGGCTGAGATGATGTAGGGGCCTTCAAACTTGGGTGCCATCTTTCCTCCTTCGGTGGGTAGACTGGCCTCCCTTCGTCGGAGGACGTAGTCTCCCACCTGGAATTCCCGAGAGCGGACCTTGGCGTCGATGTATCCTTTGACTTGTCTCCTATAGTTTTCGGCCCTGAGAAAAGCTTGCTCTCGGCGCTCTGAGATGAGATGAAGGTCGAGGGCCATGTTGGCTTCGTTTGCCTCGGGCTCGTATTGTTCAACCCTTCGGGTCGGAAGGGTCACTTCTGTTGGAGCCTTAGCCTCAAATCCATAGCATAGGGAGAAAGGGGTCTCGCCTGTTGCACGCCGAGGGGTGGTGCGGTAGGCCCATAAGATGTTATGAAGCTCTTCTACCCAGCCTCCCCCTTCGGCTTCCACCTTCTTCTTCAACCCCTCTAGGAGGGTGCGGTTGGCGTTCTCCACTTGCCCGTTGCCCTGAGGGTAGGCAACGGAAGAGAATGTGTGCTTGATGCCCCAAGCTTCAAGGAGGGCACAGAAGGGGGCTGCCTCGAACTGAGTCCCGTTGTCGGAGATGATTTGTTGGGGGACGCCAAACCTTGTGAGAATGTTCTTGAGGACAAAGTGACGGCACCGGGCCTCCGTGATGCTGGCGAGGGGCTCGGCTTCTACCCATTTGGTGAAGTAGTCAATGGCCACGATGATGTACCTGTTGTTGGAGGTACCCCTCGGCAGAGGGCCCACCAGGTCGATACCCCATCGGGAGAAGGGTATGGCGGTGCTGATGGGGGCGTAGTTGACCGCGGGCCTGCCGGGGGCCTTCTGAAAGTGTTGGCAAGCGGTGCACCTTCGGGCTAGATCAGCACAATCTCTAGCCATCGTGGGCCAGAAGTAGCCTTGAACGATGAGCCTTCGGGACATGGAGAAGGGTCCCTGGTGAGCTGAGCAAGTGCCACTGTGCACCTCTTCCATGGCGACTTCGGCTTCATCTTGATGAAGGCATCGAAGGAGGGTGCCGTTGTAAGATCTCTTGTAAAGCCTCCCGTTTTCGATGGTGTAGCTGGGAGCCCTCAGTTTTGTTAATTTTGCGCGGGCCTCATCTTGGGGCAGTTGTCCTGTGTTGATGAAGGCGATGATGTCGGAGATCCAATCCTCCGGCCTCAGGTTAATGCTCATGACGGGGCTCGCGTGGATGCTTGAGAGGCTAAGTTCCTCAATTCTTGCAATTTTTGAGAGGTGTTCGGGGGATTCATCCGAGAGCTTGGATAGAATGTCGGCCTCGGAGTTTTGAGCCCTCGGTATTTGGGTGAGAGAATGTGCCTCAAACACCTTGAGCAACTCCTTAGCCGCTTCCTTGTATTGTTTCATTCTTCCTTCCTTGGCTTCGTACTCCCCGGAAATTTGTCCCACAACAAGTTTGGAGTCACACTTGACGTGGATCATCTTAGCCTTCAGATTTGCTGCCAGCCGTAGGCCACAGAGGAGGGCTTCGTATTCGGCCTCGTTGTTGGAGACTTTGAAGGAGAAACGGATGGCATAATAGGCGCGGAAGCCTTCGGGTGTGATCAGGACTACTCCCCCTCCGCATGCTTTGGTGGCCGAGGAGCCATCGGTATAGAGTGTCCACCATTCATCGAGGGGTGCCGAGGGCTCCTCGTCAGTTGCTGACCTTGCGGTGCATTCCGTCACGAAGTCTGCCAGGGCTTGGCCCTTAATGGCAGGCCTCGGACGGATGTCTATGTTGTATTGGCTGAGGAAGATGGCCCATTTCACCATCCGAGAGGAGCTAGTGGGACTCCTCATGAGGGCGCCGAGGGGTTGATGAGTGAGCACCTGGACCGGGTGAGCTTGAAAGTAGTGGCCCAGCTTCTTGACGGTCCAAACGATGGCTAGCACCGTCTTCTCGACGGGAGAATACCTGAGTTCGGCCTCCCGGAGGGTTTTGCTGACGTAGAAGATGGCATGTTGGATGCCGTCTTCCTCTCGGATTAGTACTGAGCTGATAGCCGCAGGGCTAACACCGAGATATAAGTATAAGGTCTCCCCCACCTTTGGTTTGGAGAGCACTGGGGGAGAGGAGAGGTACTTCTTGAGTTCGTCGAAGGCCTCTTGACACTCAGATGTCCATTGGAAACCCGCCGTCTTTCTCATGATTTGGAAGAAGGGGAGAGCCCTCTCGGCTGATTTGGAGAGGAAACGGTTGAGGGCCGCCAGGCGACCCGTCAACCGTTGAACTTCTTTGACGTTGCGTGGGGGCTCCATGTTGATGATGGCCTGGATTTTCTCGGGGTTGGCCTCAATACCCCTTCGGCTGACCATGTAGCCCAAGAATTTCCCTCCTTGGACGCCGAAGGTGCAC